TGTTTTCGAATGTCCTCTAATCACACATTCACTATTATCATAAGAATTCTTAAATAAAGTTTTCAAAAAAGGCAGTTTGGATATTTTCAGATGTCTGCATTGAATCCTGCATATCTTCATAATGAATTTTGCAACTTGACACACTGCAACATGCAATGCACAATTTTTTAAAGAAAAATCATGTTTTGTCGATTAGATACGTCTACATGATCTATCTCCAAACTTTTGCATCGTGTCATAAAGACATATTTCTTTTTTGAGTATAAATAAATATGTTATCAAACATGAAATACTCCGATTCTTCAACCTTCTCTCACAATCTACAGTCTTTCAAGATCATGCTAATTAAGAGCTTCAAATATTCATATAAACGGGGATTCAGTTCGGTTCTGTTTATTTTTATTTCATTAGTGTGAGCGAGATCCATCGAGCCTCTTACTTAACAAAAAGCCAAATGGTCATAATAATGTACACAGGCTTTAAGTTATACTATAAGAATTTAATAATGGATCAGTTTTTCAATGTGGGCCTCAGAAAAATATACGTCGTTAATTGGTGAACTACTCCAAATTGAAGTGTTGGTATTACTTCATTTGTCTCTTTATTTATGTATTATTATATGTGTTTTAGAAAAATGAGAAAACATAAAGTCGAGCAACCTTTTCTCATGTTCCCTTAACATAAATGACTATAATACGGGCTATCTGCAAAACAGATGGTTCACCTGCGATTAGTTGGCTCGCATAGCAGGTTGGATATCCAGGTTAATAAAAAAAAATGAATATAATACATATGTGAAATTTTATCTGGAATTTAAAGTTTATGTGACAAAACTCATATTATATAACTTATACAATACAAGTCATGATGTCCTTACCTGCAGGACGCAACGGCTGTAGGTCCCCACAAATCATGCATGGCCCCCGTGACAATCCCCTTCTCGGCAACCTCCTTATGTTGGCCCCCCCTCCTTCCTGCAATGTCGACAATGGTCCCTCTTTTTAATCCAAGTTTTCTTGATAATCTTTTTACAATTAACAATTTTTTAAACCATTAAATATTCTACGACCGAATATTCACGGGTAATGCCCATTTGATTTCATTTATCAGAACATCGGTGTAAAAATGAAGGCTTGATGATTTAATTGGTGCAAAAAATGTTAAAAAGTTAAACTGTGAATTATGATATTTTAACAGTTTATTGATATTTAATGCATTTTGCTTTAAAAAAAATTACTGACCATAAGTTATATGATCGGATTTTCGGTTTACTTTCTAAAGTATGATGATGATCTAGGGCTTGTTTGTTTTTTGATATTCAGCTCTTAATATCTCTGAAGTCTGATTTGATCATACGTTTTTGGTGTTAAGAGTACTTGTCTTTTTTTTTTCTTTCATATAAAAGCTTAAAAGCTTTGAGTTTCCTCTAATACTTTAAGTGGTAAACTGATCCCTTAATACCTTTTAAAACTCTCTCTCCCATCTCTCTCTCTCACAGCTCTCGATCTCCAGATCTTCTTCTCAAGGCATCGATCTCTCACCTCTGAAATTTTCTACTGCTTTTTTTTTCCGATCTCTCACAGCTCTCCATCTCACACCTCTCGAGATTTCTAGATCTCAACCTCTCAAGGTATCAATCTCTTTTTTTATACTGCTTTTTATCTTGTTTCTCAACATTTTATGTTCCTGTTGAGTGTTGACTATTAGACTTTGGTTAATGAGTTTTTGTCTTGTTTCTACTGCTTTTTATCGATCTCCTTTTTCCAAGACATATCTTTTTTTTTTCTACTGCTTTTCATGAAAAATAGTTCATATGTTCATATTTTACTTGAGATTTGGTTACTAGGTTTGGTTTTGAATTAATCAAATCTTGCCTTTGTTTGTCATGGAAAACCCAAATTCTTATGTTCGCAGTAACATTGTTGGCTTTGTTTCTCTTCTTGAAGTATGTAAAAATACAATCAACAACCTGTTAATTTACAGTTTAAATATTTAACTTCAATTTCTTCATAGGTTCCTTCTTGTTTTGCATATATTTGTTAATTTGAACCGATTCAGATTTCATATTTCAGAGGTAAAAACAAAAGTCTGACCGATTCATATTTCAGACTTCAACACCACCTCTTATAAATCAGAAGTGAAATCAGACTTCAGACATCAGCACCTCTTAAAAAATAAACAACACCTTTATTATATTTGAGATAAGCGACCAACATACATTACAACCAATAGTTGGTGGAAGATACGGGGACGATAAAATTTAGGGAAATTAACAAAAGTAGTCAGTTCTTTCCCATTTTTTCAAAAAGATCACCACTTCCATAGGTAACACTTTCTCAACTTGCGAAATGACCAAAAATAAAAAATAAAAAACAATTTTCTGAACGGGTCGGCAAGTTGAGGAAGTTATTTAGACTAAGGGGTACAAACATTTACCCGGTAAGTACTTACCGGGTAATTGTCCTCACCAGATGAGCATGGCAAGGACCAAGAATCTTACCCGGTAAGAGCGATGATAAGGATGAAGAGTTTTACCCGGTAAGTGAGGGTGACGACTCTTATCCGGGTAAGCGCTTACCAGGTAAATTGTTGCAAATGATACGTTTTGATGTACTACAATCTTACCAATAAAATAAATTATAGTGTTGATTGCTGACGTTAAGCACTTACCGGGTAAGCATTTAGGTAAACGAGTCACTAATTTATAGATTTGGTTCATGTTGCAGATGTATTGCTTGCAGACCATTTTCAAAAATTTCATTTTTTGACCCCTCTGTTCCTCAAGTTAAGGAATGCTTACTTACGAATGTGCTAATTTTGTTGAATAAGTAGGAGAGAAATGAGAACCGATAAATTTGGTTTGTTAAAATGGCTATTTGTACCATTTTTTCTAGAATTTAACAAAAATGAAGGGGTTTAATGGAAATACATCCAAAGGGGGTAATCCGGGTTTTAACAAAAAGTTGAAGGGTTGATTGGTTATATACAAAATTTGCAGGGAGTAATTAGAGTTTAAAAAAAGTACAGGGTTAAAAATAGAAATTAAAAATAATGTCAGAAGTGGGATTTGAACCCACGCCCTCTTACGAAGACCAGAACTTGAGTCTGGCGCCTTAGACCACTCGGCCATCCTGACAATTGTGAACTGAAGGTCGACTTAAATTCTATAAAGACTATTAATTCCATTTTTTATTTACAATTATTTTAATATATAAATGAATATTTTGTGGAATTACTTTTAAATTTTTATTTATCTTATAATAATTAGTTTTTTTTTTCAGATAACTTTTTTTTATTATGTAATATTTTTAGTTATATAATTAGCACTGAAAATTTCACAATAAAAAGTTTATTTAAAATTAGGGTTCGTTTACCAAACGCTTACCGCGTAAACGATTATCAAGTAACATTACCTCATCGCATGCATATGGTAAAGACCAAAAATCTTATCTAGAAAGAGCGAGACAAAGACCAAGAGTCTTACCCGGTAAGCGAGGGCGACGACTCTTACCACGGTAAGCGCTTACCGGGTAAATTGTTGTATGCGATGTCGTTTTAGCGGAGTAAAATCTTATCCGGTAAGTAAATAATAGTGTTACATTTTACTGGTAAGCACTTACCGGGTAAGTGTTTGGTAAACAACGACCCCTTAATCCTTTAAGAACTCATACGTATATAAACTTAAAAAAGGTACATGAAAATAAGAGATGAAAAATGTATTTTCAAGGATCAAAATTAAAAAAGTAATGTAATTAATTGAAACAAAAATAAGACACGAAGGTTACAGAGTAAATTTCATTTTTGGTCCTTCGCCTAAATGACCAAAATTCTCCTCAAGTGAGGGACACATGACCCACTTAAGAGACTTTACACTAACCGTGTTTGTGGGAGGGACTACATTGGGCTACGAAACACGAAAAATGGACCTAGAATTTGCTCAACAAGTCAGAGGGGCGAAAACCGAAAAAACATGTATTAACTAGGGACCAAAAATGTAATTCACTCTTAGAACTATAAAAAGGTTGAGAACCGTAAGAACTACCGGTCAGATTGTGAAACAAAATGTATGCAAATGTAGAGTGTTGTTTCACATTAAAAATATAATCACATTGTGAAACAAGACTGTAATTTTACATGCATTGTTTCATAATAAAAAACAACACATGAAAATTGGTTGTCAATCTTTTTTTTTGATTAACTTGGATATTCAATCCGCTATGCGAGCTGATTAATCTCAGGGCGATCACCTGCTTTGCAGATAGTCCGGAGTCACCGCATTTGAACTTTCATGACCACAAGGGGATTTTTATTTTTTATTGGATTTGAACCCGAGATCTCCTGTACTTTTCATCTTTGGAGCCAAGCTTAAACCAATCAGGCTGTTATTGTCAATCTTTTTATGGTCTTCATTTGATTAGTCCATTTGTAGCACAATTTGTTTGATTTTTGTTGCAATAAAATTGATCAATGAATAGTATATTTTTATTTTACCTTTATTTAATATATTACTTTATTAATAATAATTTGTCAAACATTCAACATCACAACTTCAAACAATGAAATCACATCCAAACACCCTCTCATACTTTACTCAATATAATATGATCGTCACCAAAACACTTTAACCAATATATTGCGGCCGATTCTACTGCTCTTACCAATGTTACTGCACCCTTATCCCAACCAAGGTGGTGGTAAGAAACGTTCCGCTCAACAGTTGTCCTGATTTTCAAAAAGGCTATCTTATGAAAAAAAAGAACTTCGAAACGATCATGCCAAAGGCACTTCGGGATCAAAAAAGACATGACATAAGGAATCGGGCGACCCCCATCTTAACATTATTAGGTTTATTTGAAAGCTTTCATCGCCAGGCCCCTCAGGGCCACCCCCTTCTTAATTTTACCTACCCAATTCTACCAGGTTGACTAGCGCATTGCTCTTAGATTTGTAGTTTTCCCTCTAGTCGCTCATAGGTGATTATCAGTCCATTTTTAGATCAGAAGTAGATGCCTCTTTACCAATATCAGTTGTTTTTGTAACAGTTAATAGATTATCAGCATGTTTAAACCATTAAAAAATTCTTAATCATCTAATAATTATCCTTTAGTTTTATCAAATGTGGTTTTCCTAAGTCGAGTATGATGTTTGAAAGCATATGGTATATAATATCATGAACATCGTATAATAATACACTTTGTTTGCTTGTGTTGTTTTTAACAAACGTACGTCCACCGACACTTTTCGAGACAACAAGAAACTGAACACATAATACATAATAATCGGATTTCATGTGCATATCAAACTCTTCGGTTGTAAAAATTATTGGCTTCTGTAACCCAACTGCAATAGAGAAATTAAAAAAGAAAATCTAAAAAATGCTTTCTAGATACAATATCTTTAGAAATATTTACTCCATAATTATTTTGCAGTAAAAACAGACAAAATATATCAAAATTTAATCAAATTCGTCTGTTTTATTATAACGATGCAAAATTTCAACTAATACAATACGCGTCTAATTCATTCTATTATGTATAACCACTTTACCTGCTACACAGATATTCAACCACTTCATCGAGCGTTGCATGTCGACCTTTCTTTCAGCTAAATTCATCCATTCACTTTTTTCTATTAAGACATTGAGAATACAAACAAGAAGATAAAGACACTTGAAGGAATATTCAATTGCTATTTGTTTCATCCCCCCTTCCCGACCCCAAATCTTCTTTTTCACCTAAGCTCTTCACCAAACAAGACTGCACGGTTTTCTAATGCAACCAAACACGACGTATATGGGGAAAAAACAATATTGAAGCTAGGTTCCGTAATACATTAACGACGACTTTCATGATGCATATCTTCATCGAGCAAAAACCGCAACTTCATTCAACCGTTTCCTGTCAAATCTTTTGATTACGATATATATGAGTTTACTAACGATTTTCCTTTTATTACAATTAATGGAAAATAATACATATAAAAATAATGCAATCATAATCAACTTTTGAAATAAGTTGATATATATGGCAACTCAATTATGAAGAAGCCTTTATGATGTGTTAGGCCCCCTCCCTTTGTTTTAATCCCCACAGGACCACAATAACACAACAAAGTCAAAAGTCAAATAAGAAAATAAATTTTATCATCTAAATTCAAATGTTTTTATGGACATGGTCCTAAAATTTTTATCTATAAATATATTTTTATTAAATATTCAAATAAAAACTTAATTCGAAGTAATAATCATGTCCCCTCCGTCGACTATTCGGAAACGTAACCGATTTGAAAAAACTTGCATGAAAGTTGGACGATGTTTATATATATATTTACCCTATTTTATGATTTATAAGTTAGAAAACATTCATATTCAACACTTTAATGGAAGTTCTATCGTAATGGTCCTGATTTATCCGAAAAACAATGACAGGTGTAGTATGTAAAGGATGGGGAATGGGCCCCTATTAATTATTTTCCGCACTTTTACATAAATTAGAAACAATTTCCTGTCTATGTCCCCACCAACCGAAAAAGTATCCCGAAATCAATAAAAAGAACCAAGGAAAGTCCCTCAAAATCGACAAAAAAACTAAAAAAATCTCTCGAAATCAACCGAAGAACTTTAAAAACCCCTTCGGAATGGTGAAATTAGGCTAAAAACACATTATACAACATTGCAGACCTCTAATCTACCAAGGATTTTCCTGCCTATTATCTTGAGGGATCCATAGGATTTAAATATTTAATTTAGGTCATGAAGAGAACAACTAGTCCACCTTGAGGGTCTTTAGTTCAACTAGTAAATAAATGCCAAACATTGAATCTTCCCTGTAGGTCGTCAGTTCGAGTTTTCTCAAGGTCATTAAGGATTTTCCGGACTGTTATCTTTAAGATTCATGAAATTAATCTAAATAGATACAAACTAGCTCGTTCGGACACCGACAATTATGAAGGAAAAAGAAAGAACAAGTCTATTGTACAAAAGGGTTAACATAACACAAGTTTTTTTACAATGAACAACAATTTTGGCAAATTTATTGACTCACCAGTCACATGATACCCAATAAACACACAAGGCCTGGACTGGCTTTCCCTAATATGAAATTTTCACCTCACAATATTATATTCATCAACAAACCCCACAAAATTCACATGTGAATGCCTTATTTCAAAGAAACTTCAGAAGCACAATTACTAGTAATCTGTAGATCAGATGGAGTGCATACCAGTGCCCTTTGCTGTAAATGTCTCAAACTTTGCTCCATGCTCACTTGAACCATATCTGCCAGCATCTGCTTTGCATTCCCATTTTGCTCCTCCCCTTCGATCTGCGATATAATATCGCACACGATGTTCTCGAGCGTGTCGGGCTCGAGCTCTGATCTCGGGTACGGAGACTCTCGTAGTAATCGCAGCAGTGTGTGTGCTTTCGTCTGAGAGTTTGCGGTTCCTTGAACTGTAAGCTCCAAAAGTCCTGGAATCACACCTTCTCTAAGAATCGGTTCTCTGTATCTACATCGGTCGCTTTGACACATAGTCAAGAGTGTACCCACTGCGTGTTCGCGGTTCTGGGGGGACCCACGCTCGAGGACCTCCACGACTGCAAGCACGCCGCCTTCTTCTGAAGTTAGGGAGACTCGTCCTTCTTCGAAACCAACTAAAGATTCAAGAAGAGAGGTGCATCTTTCGGAGATTTTTGAGGATTTTTTGGAGGATTTAAGGATGTTAACTAAGTAAGGAATAGGGTGGGATTGAAGGATGAGGGCGAGATTGGGTGGCTCGGATGAGAGATTGCAAAGAGCCATGATCGCGTCCATCTTGACTTGAGGGGTGTTACCGTGGCCAAGGAGTTCCACGAGAAACGGGATGGCACCAGATGCACCGATGGTCGATCGTTTTACAAGTGTTGCAGATAGGGTGGCTAATGATGCCGTTGCATGTTCTTGCAAATTCAAATTGCCCAAATGAAGAAATGTGACAATTGGTTCTAAGGCACCAGCATCCACAATACTAATCTTGTTTCTGCAGAGAAAATAACATAACAAACACAATTACCATCATTTCAGATTTTCACTTCGTTTTTTTTTATAAAACAAATGACATATAAAGGTTTAAAGTATTGAAATTTGAAGTAGCTTCCACAAACTAGCTGTTTATCGATAAACTAGCCAGGTTTGATAAAAACTAGCTGAACATGTAGATTACAATATAAAATGATCTATAACAACATGCTAAAGAATAATTAGAAAAATACACGGACATAATAGAAAATTGCTACTTGTAGCAGCTTCTTAAAAAGCTAGCTAACATGGGTTTTTAAACACGGGTAGGCTAAATGCACCACTACATCAACATCAAAACTTTCTTTTTACATTTCTAGTACATGATTTGACTTGAATCTCATATAAAAAGAAGTGCATATAGCATTCCTCTAAAAATGCAATTATACTACCAACACTAGAAGTCACTTTTCAGAAAATCTTGATATCCACGAACTGGATTAAGAGGCCGTTTACCAAATTCTTAATTGGGTAAGCGCTTACCAAACTAAATTACCTCACCGAATGAATAATGATAAAGACCAAGAATCTTAGCCGGTAAGAACGAGGCAAGGCCCGAGAGTCTTACCTGGTGAGGGCAATGACTCTATTAGTGCTTAGCAGATAAATTGTTGCATATGATGTCGTTTTTCTTGACTAAAATCTTACCCGGTAAGTAAATGATAGGGTTGAGTTTTATCGATAAGTGTTTACTCGATAAGTGTTTGGTAAATGGTCCTTAAATGTTAATTATGATGGAAAGAGGAAAACCTAAAGAAATTATTCCATCCATCATGGTTAACAGATTCTGTTGCATGTGATGGGATAATTAGCTTCATGAAGAAGATGAAATGGAAAGGGAAAAAGAAAAAAGGAAAGAAATAAAACGAAAAGAAAAGAAATGAAAGAGTGACAAGTGAGTAAAAGTATAAACCAAAGTCACCCCACCCCACCAAAAGATTAAACATTATCCATTCATAAAAGCATCAGATGCTATGCCCAATTAAAAACCATTCATTGCATAAATGTTTATGGTTATCCATCACATAAATATTAAATACAATGGTCGATTGTTGGTCAAGATGACACGGTAAAACAAGATTCGTGATTCGCATACGAACACGTTGGAACATGCATATGAGGTCGAGCGACACGCCCATTTTTATATATCGTACCACATCAAGAAAAATATGCATGATACGAACTGTTATATATAGTATTTTCTCCTTACCCAAAGTATGGCGGATTTCCTAAAAGGAATATAAGCAAATTCAATGAATTATATCATCAGTTAGGTAGATTTTGTATTCTAACTTTAGACTCTTTCTTGTTTTTTTAGCACACAAATCAAGAACATAAAAGAACAAAAAAGTCCCCTAAGGTTTCTTTCATTTTCACTTCTTCCACAGAATTCCATAATCCCCAAATATACATCTTGAAACATGAATGGATTTTATGTTTCTTTCTTTGATAGCAGAATCTAGACAACAGATTTTATTCAATCTCTGTTTTTTTCTACAAATTATCGTTTGGGAAGCTGAATTCAGAGTTTATTTCGGAGATCAGAAACATATGGCTTTCAAGATTTTCTACATCATTACATTTATGAATCCTAGGAAGGAAAGTTGGGTACGGATAAGAAGACCCTAGAAAGTGACAGAAACCGGCCTCCCAAAAACACCAACCACGATTAACTTCAAAGTGAATTAATCAAACAAAACGATTACTGTCTAGTGTAGACTAATCAAACTAATTATCATCATATCAATTCTCGAGAATTTTCTATGATTTCAACTTCTTTCATGAATTCCAAAAGAAGATCCCTATTGGTGATTTTACAGATGAACAGCAACTATTGCTGATAATACCAGCGTCCTAATTGAAACTACGTCGAATTCATGATTGCCTAAGCGAATTATCCTTCAGATTAGGTTTCAATTCGATCTAACTGCCTTTTTTCAAGTAACCAATCAGAAGAGCGATCGATCAAAAAGCAGAGACCACAAACACATATTTTAATAATATTATTGTGTTTTCCTTTTTTGCTGAATTGATGAATCCAAGGAAAAGGATGCACACACAAGCATAGAAAGTGACAGAAACCACACTCCAAAGCATCTACCATTATTAATTATATCTCAAAACAAAAATATCAAAACAGATAGATCAACATACGTTTCGTCCTGGACGGCAAGGTTAAGGAGAGCTAGGAGCGCTGCCGCTTTGGCTTCAATAGATGGAGAGCGAAGCATGGAAACAAGAGGTACGATGGCATCGGAGAACTGGCGCCGGCACCGCTGTGATGTTTTGGTTAGTCGACGGATCTCTTTAGCTGCTTCAATTTTGGAATAAGGATCGTGGTTATCGTCTTGGATGAGACGAAGCGTATGAGTGATGATGGTGGTGGGGGTTGTTGGAGTATGATCTCCGTCGCCGGCGGCGGTGGAGACGGAGGTGGTGGTGAGTGAATCCATGTGGTACCACCGACGAGAAAGAAAGAAAGAAAGAAAGAAAGAAAGAGAGAGAGAATGCGAGTGAAGTGGGAGGGTGTTTTTTGTGTTTAAAAGAATGTAAGGTAGAGAGGTAACGTGAGAAGTGGTGCCGTGGCGTTAAGCAACAGTTATTTTCAACGGCCTTTTTCTTTTAAATTTAAATTCACAAATAAATTAGACTAAAAAAATAGCAAGGATTAATGGGCTGTTTGGTTGCGGCTTAATGGATTGTATAAATCATATTGCTTATTCGCACAACCATATATAACTGTTTGGTATGGGCTTATTCGGTCAGTCAATGGCTGAATCACTCAACTGCAAAAGTAGAGTCATATACATTCAGTCATTTATTGATCCATTTGTTCCCTTTTTACCCTTCCCCTTATTTTGTCTTCTTCTTCCTTTATATGAAATCAACCGGTCATTTGTTGATCCAGTTCACGCTTTCAAGTTTCAGCTGAAAACCTTTTCTCCCAGTGATTTGATTTCTTCCTATGGTTTGTTCTTAACAAGGTTTTTGATTTCTTCCCATGGTTTCTTCTTCTAGATTTTCTGTTTCTCCCTGTGGTTTTCGAAATGACAATACCGTGTGAAGATCTGGAAAACCCCCAATCTTGGACCTCCAGCACCGCTCCCTTCCCCTCCTATGCCCTCTTCTACTTGCACTCTTTTTCTGCAACTTCCGTTCGTGCATCTATCATAGGATGGGGAACCCCCCCCCCCCCCCTCTCTCTCTCTCCTCACCCCGTGGATCTACTTCGACCTGGTCTACATCTAGTCTCCATCGAACGGCAAAAAGGAAATAAAAGATGTTGGTCTCTGTCTACTTGTGCATCTCCATCGCTGAGAAAACCGTAACAATGAATGGAGGTTTTTGTTAGGGCTGGTTCAAACCAAAAAAAGGAGATGTGAATAGAAGATTGAAACTACGAAGGAAAGTTTTTTGATACAGATTTAGGAAAACCCCCAATCTGGAAAACCCCCTTCTCTACACTAATTTGTTTATGTGCATAATTATATGAAAGATCTATTTGATCATTGAACTTGAAGATTTGGACTCAATTAAGGGCACAAATCAACTAGATTGGAAACAATATGTAGTTACTGGTAAAAGATATAGACTGAAAGGTAAAATGGTCATTTCTGACATTCAGACTGTTTATTCAGCACAACAACCGAACAACAACTTATCTACTAATATACAGACAACTGTACTAATACAGACAGTTATATTCATACAGATTTTAACATAAAACGAACCGAACAACCCCTAAGTTGGGTAATTTATGTAATTTTTTTAACTCAGCTGGTTTGTAAAAATCTCAACCAAATCCATAATCATTTAAAACTATAATTGAATGTTTATGATTTGGGGCTAGTACTAAAAGTAGATTCAGATGTATAGTCGTCTTGAGGTGTCTCATGATGTGTATTTTTTACAAGACAGAGATTTTTTTTTCAAAAAAAATAGTTTTTTTGATTTTGTTTTTACACTTTTATAGATTTATCTGATCACATCACTCATAGTTTCACGAATTCATAAACGTTATAAACTCACGATTAAAACGGAGTTATAAAATTACTTTTATAAATTCTATTTTAAATATTTAATCAACACCTATTTTATAATAATAATCTTTATGATTTTTCTTATTCTAAGATGAATGTACAATTTTTAATATCATATCTGATTAGATAATATATAAAAAACATATATGTGAACATATAATTTTATATATGACATACAAAATTTGCCGCCTTATGTCATGCCTTGAAAAACGTCGCGTCCTCGCCCTAGCGTGTTAAATTTGAGGCTTGATCTCACCGCCACGTTATACCTCACGTCATTTTTTTAACCTTAGTTATACACAGTAGCATTATCTTTCCACCAAAATACAACATCAACAAGGGTTTTAATACTTTATGATAATAATATTTAATACATAAAAAATGAATTTAAATCTCACGTGAAAAGAATTTTGTATTTATTTTATGGCTAAAATGCAATAAATGATAGTGCACTTTTTTATATTTATAGCATCATATTATTTTATTTTTGAAAAATCTACTCATTATAACAACGAGTAATCGATAACATTTCAAAACTGTTACCTCATTATTTACTTTGCTTACATGACACATGTATAGTAACCTTTATATTTAAATATGTAACGATAAAAAAAACCAAAAAAATGGTGTATGAATTTCGAAAACAACAGGGTTTTAGAAACCTGTTTCTATTCTGATTTCTATTATCATTCGCATGAGGAACACAAAAATACGAAACATGCCCACAAATGTGTGTGATTCACGTGTGATCAACAAATGTTTTCATTGTTGAAGTTGAAGTGTTAGTGTAACAACTCGTCCCACATGGATTATTAGTGAGATTTATGAGCTTTTTATAAGTCTTAAGTTGTGGGTTACGAATAACTGCAACCATGATTTTAAGTTGGATTCGAAGTTATTAGATCAACTTGTTGTTTTGGACTTTGGGGTGTCACAAATGGTATCAGAGCCGATCTTTGTATCATCAGGATGGTGGGACAAGCCTCATCAAGTATGATACGTCATCGAGAGGGTGTTTGTAACATACATATTAAGCACGTTGTTACTGGAGATTGAAAATGATTGTAACATCTTAGGACCCGCAACAAACTTCGACAACCCTTTTTGATTAGAATTTTATATATTTTCTGTCATCGGTATATAAAAAATATATTTTGAAAAGTATATGATTTTAATAACATAATTCAAAGTTTATTTACCTAATAAAATTATGGTTTTCTTTTTCTTTAACCACAAGGGTGGTGCTTGATTGGTTTGAGCTTGACTTCAAAGGTCAAAAGTAACAGGAGGTCTTAGGTTCAAATCCAAAGAGGAATAAAAATCCTCTTGTGGCCACGGAGGTTCAAATGCGGTGACTCCGAGGTATCTGCTAAGCAGGTAGTCGCCCTGGGATTAATCAGCTCGTATAACGGGTTGAATATTCAGGTTAATAAAAAAAAACATAATTCAAAGTTTATTTACCTAATAAAATTATTGTTTTCTTTTTCTTTATGATATACTTTGCCACCAATAGATTTGATCCTTATACTTACGAACCTGATTCAGAAACTTTTTTTCTACACTTTGATCCCTCTGAAAAATACGGACTTGCCACTTGTGGACTTGGTGACATTTTGGTGATGTTAGAAGAAAAATGGCTAAGAGGTGAAAGCAAGAGCCAAAAATGACTATTTTAATTAAAAATACTATTTAATTTACCACTTTTTCATGCGTAATGTAATTTTTAAACAATAATAATTATATATACATACATAGAGGGTGGATGAAATGAGAACATAATAATAAAAAGAAAAGATATGAATGCGGTCAAATCACATGTGATTTTATACTAATATCACGTGCGATTATGAAACATTGTCAATGCAATGGTGATCGAGCGACTTGGCCTGCGACCTCATGTGTAACACCCCAAAGCAAAGCAAATCAAATAACTTTGAATCCAATTTAAAACTATGATGAAAGTTAATGTAGTCCACAACTTGAGGCTTATAAGAAGTTCACAAATCCCATTTTCTGTTCATGTGAGACGATTTGTTACATCAGATCACGACCAAAGTCGCGTGAATCACATGTGATTTTACACTAACATCATGTGTAAAATCACATATAATTTGGTCGTTCTTGTGTTCTCTTATTTGGTCGTTGTTCTCGTTTGAACCCTACTATACACACACACACATACACACACACACACACACACATATATATATATATATATATATATATATGTGTGTGTGTGTGTGTATGTGTGTGTGTGTAGGGACATGTTTCTTGAGGGACTGTTTACAAAATGCTTACTTGGTAAGTGCTTACTCGATAAATCTTCTCATCGGATGAACATGATAAGGGCAAGAATCCTACCAAATAAGAGAGATGAGAAGGATGGAGAGTCTTACCCAGTAAGAAGATCACGACTTTTACCCTGTAAATTGTTGCATTTGATACGTTTTGATGTACTAAAATCTTACGCATCAAAATAAATTATAGTGATGACTCCTTATCAGTAAGCACTTACCGGATAAGCATTTAGGTAAACAGGAAGAAACTAAATTTCTAGGAACTCGGGAACCGCCCATGCGACAAACACGTGAGATTTACATTTAAATAAGAAATTCATCATAAATGCATCATTCATGATGAATAACACGTCCATATTTATCATGAAGAAAAACACATGACATGTTGTGTGTGTGTTCCTCCGATTCCCAAAGCAACTTCCCTCTCCCCCTTATTTATAATATACATACATATATATATATATATATATATATATATATATATTTTTTTTTTTTTTTTTTTATTTATTTATATTGAGAGAGAAATTTTAGACATTGTTGTAACTTTTTTCTTGTATGAGTCATAAAACCTTCTCACTGCCCTCATATGAAAACAATCCCAAAATCCGACGTCTCAAAAAGACGCAATGGCAAAATCATAATAAAGACAAATTTCAACGGCAGTTGTAAAAGGACCGTAGCTTAATACAAGTTAACATTTCTATATACGTCAACATAAAAACATGAACATACATTAAAACGTCTTAATATAAAAATGTTAACATACGATTTAACTTAACCAATCATGGTGTGAAACGAATTGTTTTAGCATTTCCATTTATGTATTTTTTGGGTTACTTTTGTCACTTGTTAGGTAAGTTTGGTAGCAAAATTTTGGCATTTCCATTTATGTATTTTAAATATAACTTTATTGCATAAAACAAGACATAAACCTTAAAAACAATAAGATGAAAGTGACACAAGATTAATCAAATTCAACCAATTAAATTGAAGTTATAGTGTCATTATTTCTTGAACGTTTTATCTGTGTTAAAAAACGTTTAAACAGATATCTACTTTCTAGTTGTACTGTAAATTTTAAGGGTATGTTTTTTTTTGAAGGAACTGGATTTGAATTCAACCAATACAATTG